AGATAGATAGATAGATAGATAGATAGATAATTGATCAGGTAATATAGAAAGCAACTGAGTCTTTCTTGTTGAATGATGCACACCAAGGAGTTCAATGGCAAAATGGAAATTGTAAACAGCAATTGTAATGCTTTGCATGCTTAACTTCCTTAAACTACGGACTTCCCATTTTATTTCTGCTGCAAACTTTTTTTTAAAAAAGCATATTCATTTGCTTATTTAGACTGTCTTGCACCACAATAATCAATATGCTTTGTTTTTTTGTCTATGACTTAAAGCTCCACAGGCTCAACTGGAAGTAAATGTCCATGTACACCAGCACTTAACTTCTGATAAATCTATATAGGATTGTATTTTTTACATGCTAGTTATATACCTTCAATTTACTGCCAGGGAATAAAGCTCTAACATCAGTGGGGGTTTACTTTGGAGCAGGAACCTATAAAAGGAACGTCCTCAAGCTTTAGGTCATTACCCCACTAGCAATTTACAGTATCATCTAAACTCTAAAGTCATTCAACCATCATCGTGCCAAAAAACAGCAACAAGGGCAGGTTTTCTATCACTTCAGAGATGACTGGGTGATGCTCTGTGCACTCCAGATGTATTGAATTACATTTCCCAAAATTCCTGCCACCGTGGCTATGCAGGCAGAGCATTTTGGGAGATGTAATTTAAAACATCTTGTGGTACCAGGTTAGGAAAGGCTACATTCAAGACAATACTTGAGAGGAGAGTATATTAAACTGATGGTGCTTTGTTTTCTTGGGGTTTATTTGTAAAGAAAATAACATCCTAAACCTGGTTTTGTCAGGAGTTTAATCAAGTCTTGTCAACAAATCAGATATGACTAAACTAAATATTTCATTCTAGAAGTATTTCAGAATTCCAGTCTTATTCTACAGACTTATCCTAAATAGAAACCTGAGGAGTAACTTTCACTAGTTTTAGAGAATTTAAATTCACCTTAAGTGATCTAAAACCACAGTTGTTTTAAACAAAATTCAGCAAAATTACAATTTGCTGAAGTATGCATTGTAAAGAAAACAAGCTACCCATTATAGAATTTAGAGAGAATCCAAGCAAACAAGCATGTCTTGATTGGATTATGCAGTTAAATTTAACACGGACAATCAAAGAAAACTCCTTTATATTAAAGGTTTGGATAAATGAATATTCCTAGCAAATAAAATGTATTCAATTAACTGAAAACCTCATGCACTTCTGAACTGAAGTGGAATCGACTGTAATTGATTTATTTGAAACCAGAGGTTAAGGACTGAATTAGCTAAGTACAACTGGGTATTTCAAGCCACTGACTTATCAAATGTCAAATCTCTTCTATTTTAAATATTATTTCAGCTGCAGGGCATTGCTGTCCTGATGGCTGTTCCACCAGTTAAATCTCAAATTATATTAATATTCGATTTTGGAGGTTGGGAGAAAGGAGGGGTAGATTATGATTTATTACAGAGGAGGGTGGTAACCATTCAGCTTGAAGACACATTGTAGTACATTTTTTAAAAATGCATAAATTAACATAGCATGAAGGGACTACACTATAGCTCATTAACATTTAACCATTCATACTAATTTCTATTACTCTGTGTGTGTGTATGTTAAGGTTAGCAGCTAAAAGCATTGCCTAGAATTTGAAAGGCTGCAACAGTGATTGATTACAACACTTAAAATACATCCCCCCTTCTTGAAAAATACTGTGAAAGTAATTATCATGATTTGGTAACTGCACTTTTGTCACAGCAGATGAGCCCCAAACTGTAATGAACCCATTATTATCTCCTGCAATAAGCTCTTTTAAAAAAAGGTCAAAATGAAATAGTGAGATTTATTCTCAATGTTTACTGCAGGTTTCTAAAGCAGAATAAACAATTTCAATAATCATCGGACTTATTGTCTTAAAGTTAACTGAAAATAAGTTTCATTTTTCAAAAAAGTAAAACAAAATGGAGTGTTAATAATTAGCATTTTAACTAAACCAATGATCAATATTTTAACATATGAATCAAGCAATGCATAAATATCATTTAAGGTTTAATGTTATTTTTACAACTCTAATTCTTAATTGTTTGCAATAAGTAACTATGCAATATTTATTAAATTTCATTTCTGAAATTGTATTTTACTGCCAGATACATTATTCATATCTTTTAAATTATTAGGAACGTTGTAAGATTAAATATGCTTTACACATTCCCCAGTTACAGCTAAAAACTATTAGGCAGATTTTTTTTTAAAGTAACAAGCATCTGTAAATCCAGATATGAATGAATGGTATTTAATAAGATTGTTTTCCATTTAAAAATGAGTATTTATGCATTGCTGGAGAAAGAGCAGCAGTGTGTGCATGGCTGTTTATGAATGCCATTGTGCCTGAGGTTAGGATCCCCCACACAATCTGAGTTGCAGCCAAGAAAAACAGCCCAGATAGACAATGCTTCACTTCACCTGCTACAATGCTGTGCATTTCATTTATGTCAAGGCTGCATGTACAGTTAGGGTTCATTCACCTCATTATTTTGTTACATCCGCTTTACAGTTAACCAATGTATCTGGGGCAAGGGGATGAATAAGCATTTTCAAAAAGATATGCAGAAGATCCACTTTCAATATCTCACAGACATAACAGCACACTCATATGCCATCAGAGGAAAAATATTTCACTGTAAAACTGCATTTTAAAAGCAGCAAACCAACTATCTTGGTTTTCTGTTGTCTTCCCTAAGTAAAGGAGCAGTCAGGAAGAAATAGAACTTCTTCATCTACTGGATTGGCTTCCTCTCTCAACAATCAGATAGAAATACCAGATCTAAATTTCTCTTTGTTAAGAAAAGGTACCAACATTGTGCTTCTGGGGTAGCATTCTGCACTGCCTTATCAGGTATGCCATCGCACCTTTAACTTTTTGCAACACTTATCGGACAACTAGACACAATTGATCTGGATTGATATCAATCATCATGCTGGAAATAAGTTTCACAATGTTTGCTCAAACACTTCAGTTTCAGTACTCCAAACCAGCATTGTAAGCATGTATTTCCACAAAAATAACACTTTAATGTAAATATTTCATTCCCTGCTTCTATTTCTATCAAACTACATTGGCATAAAGCCAATTTTGTATCATACAAACCCAAAGAAAATGAAATAATCAGTTAAAAGTGCAATTTTCATAGGAGTGCACTTTGAGCCAATTTCTAATGTAAAAAGCACACTACCATCTCTTCCAAATGAATTTCCTCATTCTCTGGAACTAAAATCTAGCTAATATGAAAATAAAATATTTCATGCGTATCTAAAAGTTTGAGTTGTATTGCTTATAATTCAAACATGTATCATTTCAAAATAAGATCTTCCTCATCCAAAATATTGGAAAAGTTATTATCACATGATTAAATATTTACAGTAATGTGACCTGCACACATTCATAAAATCCAACCTAAAATAAATCTGAAGTAATATGTCAGTCAAACAAGATGAATATTATTATTTTCCCTAATATGAAAATGTATCCCATGCATTGACATAGACACAATTGATTTTTTTTTAAATGTGTTCTGTATGAACATTTGTATGTATACATAGTTACCCATAATTCTCTTCCCCATATCTTATCTTCCCCATATTTTAAATGGCATTAAAATTAAAAAGCAATTCATATGTCAAACATTTTAAATGGGTAACCCTGATATATAATTATGAAGCAAGAACAAAACCTAAAGATCAAATAAATAAAATAAAACTTTATTTTTTAAAAAATAAAATCACCTTTCAGTTAAAGGAAACTAAAATGCCATTTCTTCAACAGTACAATATTTTTTTTAATCCAAAAGAATACATTTTGTTTTATTGTGTAATTTGTCTGAATACAGACTCAGTGGAATATCTAAATGATACCCTGCTCTGAACTCCAACTTGAAAGTAAGTTTTTATTATACTTGAGGGAAACAATGGGTTCAGCTGCTTATTGCAAAGAGCAATTGTCAAGGGAGAGTTAAACTCAATTACTGTAACCATACTGAATAAAAAATACTGCCAAGAACAAAAATACGCCTGGGTAAAGACAGCCACTGAATAAAAAAAATCGACATAAAGCGTATCAAATATTTATTTATCTGGGCAACAAAGGACTATGATACATTGACAGGCATGGAAACTACTGCCAGCACAACTCAATACAATACAACTGTAACTGCTTCCAATATGGCCGGTGGAAATAGAGGATACCAGGTGGTCCCCAATGTATGGAAGTTCTTTGAACCAAAAGGCAACTCAAAATGAAAAAGGGGAGAGGGAAGTGAAGATCCCCAGTTCTTTATCTGAATAGACAATATCAACTTATTGCTCTGATTATGCTTTCAATAGAAAGACCCTGGATATAAACTTTTTTAAAGCCACAGCATACAAAGAGTTGTTAAAAATTATCAACATGCGGAAAAAAAATGTTTTTGGAAGGGGAACCTAAATTATTTCAGTGGAAGTGGTAGTCGGTCTGGTTTGGATGGCTGATTTATTTTCCTTTATCAATGTGGAAATTAAGTATCATATTAATAATATATTTGTAAAAATCCAAGTTGCTTCAATCGCTTAGCTGCTTTATTGTCCTCTTTTTATAACATGCTACAACAGGGCTGAAGTGATGAATCCCAAAAAATACCACCCCACCTCCCCCTAAAAAACTCCCCTTCCGTTTTCTAAATAAGTAACTATGAACCACAGTGATGGAACTAAGATGGGAAAGACTTAAAAACCCACTAAACAAGAGGTAAACGAGATCACCAGATAAATAATAAAAAAGCTTCAAACAGACTCACCATATTTACAGTTCCCATTAAATTACACATAAATAAATATATACATAGAGAACACGGATTCCCTTATAGAAGCACTATGAATCGGTGTCACCATAAGAAAGTTCAAATTAGTCGCTTTACCTTGGCAGGAGAGAGGTGCTAAAACTGAAGACATGACATGGAACTGCATGTGGTTTGTGTTCAAGTTTATTCACAATACTGATAAAATGTCATCATCATCATCATCATTATCATCCTTTCTTTCCTGTTTTGTTTTGTTTAAATATGGCTACAATTTTAAACGGAAGTTTGTATCAGAGAAGGTGGTGATCCAGTCCGATGAAGCTCATTTGTTTTTTTTTTTTCCCCAAATTTCATTATTAACCTTTAAACTTAGTTCTTTTTCTTTTTCTTTTTTTTAGAAAAAAAGTTGTTTATTTTCATCAGTTTATTTATTTTTGTTAAAAATAATAAAAGTTCACACAGACGACAAAAAAATGTTTTTTTTTTCTCTGTTTCCTCTTAGGATGGCCCAATCGCCACCTTTGTTTCCTCAGGCTCCAAACTGGGTAGCAACTGGAAATGAACTGGGAAGTGGTGGAGGTGGGGAAGGAGAGGAGAGAAGAAAAAGAAGAACGGTGGGGAGGGGCAGGGGCAGGGGTGGGGGTGAGAGAGATGTGAATTAGCCGGTCCTCCTGAGTGAATAGGCTGGGACAGATTTCTGAGCTTCTCTTTCTGTAGCCTCAGGGTGAGGAGGAAGGGGAGGGGGGGCCAGGCTGGCTGGTCTGGTTGGGTCTGCAAGAAGAAAATCCTCATTTTCTGTGCTTCTCTTCTTTGTCGCTGCTTTTGGTGCTGTTATCTGTGTGACTATTAGGATTGTTGCTGAGGTACATTTTGTCCATGGCCTTGAGTGCCTCGGTGAGATAGTTCTGCAGGGCAGTGACCGCTGCGCACACAGCAGGGCTGCCAAAGCCGTGAGAGATGAGGTTGAAATGGGTCAGGCAGCTCTGGATGCCCGGCTCCAGAATGGGGGTGGGCCGAGAGTTCCCCAGTGGAGATCGATCCTGAGCCAGCAGGTCGGTGAACTCCTTACAGATCTGTCTGCAGCATAAATGGAGCAGAGAGAAGGGGAGGGAGGAAAATAAGCCAGTCTTGTCAGCAAGCAGGCGAGCCAAGGAGTCAGTTGCCTCCACAGCAAAGTCATACATGCACGCACAGAAATAATCTCTGCTCTTTTACCCACTCTCTGACGTTCTGCACCGCTGATGCCCTATATAGAAATATTGACATCAGTATAACAGCCTTTCTCTTTCTCTCATCTCCCTGGCTTCTCCTCTGCACTGATTTACATCCACTTCTTCCAGGAACAATATTTTTTTGCTTTTTTGCTTTTCAACACACAGATGCATTTTTACACTAGATCGCCCTCTTATCTTGTGGCATCTACAATCTTTTCCCCACATTTATCTGTGTGTAAGTGAGTGCATGTGCAAGCATTACATACAAGTGCATTAGATACCTATAGGGTGCCACTAATCCTTAAGCTATGTGTCAGAAAATGAGGGCCATGTCTTTATTTCATCCCAAGGATAACACTTAGAGATTACTATGTGGAAAATATGAAAATGTAATACTACTACTGTATCAATAATGACTGGAACAGCAGTTTGCATCAAATGTGTTCTTCATCCCAATATGCCCTCACATTTATTTACTGATGCCGATTTCTGAGGTATCTCTGTCATACTCAATACATCTCTCTGTTTCAATTTAACTCTTTCCTCTCATATACAACCACATCTTCATAATCACATGAAAAATGTCAGAAAGTTCTATGGAAATCACACGAGCATACACATTTCTCCTTGATACAAAACACATCTCCCACTTCCTTCCTCCAGAGTAATACCCACTGTTTACCCCATCAAGCTTGTTAATTACAAGTTCTGTAATTAGCATTCATATCTAGTCTTCTGGATTTAAATCAACAGTTATTTTTTAGATCTAAGTTTCACCATAAGATTATAAGTTTCCTTGAAAGTAAGTTGCATTGATCTCAACAACACATCCATTACATTTTCTTTTCTTTTTTCCACTTAGATGTTTTTCACTCTACATGGTTTTAGGAAACGTTCCATTATTCCCAGCAAGCAAATTGGCAATGAAGTGTGAGAGTTAATTTTAAGGACAAAAACAAAGCCCCAATTTAGGAAGTGAACAGTTCTCAAAGCTACTTCTTTAGCTTATCAATCCCAGGACTCTCATTTCATATAAGATTTGATGGCATTAGAAAGATGCAGTAGTGTTTATGTAGGTCACAAAGCACTGGAATAAAGGTCTCCATTCAGAAATTAGATTCATACCAGTATCTAAATAAGCTGCCAGCAGATAAGAAAAACTAGGAGCATATATATGGCAGCAGTTGAGTTTCTAAAGGGCAGTATTGAGACATATTTCAGCTGTATCTCTCTCCCAATAACTGGGTGCCCTCTGGCCCACTGTTCTTCGGTGAATCACTATCTGTAATTAACTATGAGGGGGGAAGCATTTTAATTTCCAGCAAACACATCATTTACAATAATTGAGAGTTCCCTCTCCTCTTCCCCCACCACCTAACCTGAATATTCAATATCTTTTCTATTAAGTTATCCCTAGAGTCTTTCTCTTAAAATAAACCCCCACTGGCATTTTAGTTGCTTAGAAGTGAAATACTTTTAATACCTGAATTCACAGTTAATCAATCTTCAGCATTTTTATTCAGCATGTAAGTTCCATTGAGATCAATTTTACTTACTTCCAAATAACTACGCAATCTTGTCTACAATCCTCAAAATAAATCCCACTATACTTAACAGGGCGTACTCTCTGATAAATCTACAGAGCCTAGCAATTATGTGCCGTTTTCTTCCCATTTAAACGCCTCTAGTAACACCATTCCAGGGAGTGGGGTGGGGGAATCATTCTCCTACGTCTGTTTGATTTCAGCAATAGCGTCGTTGGCAATAACATCGTTTTCCTTCGATGAGGAAATTGTGCTTTTTAGTTACCCCGTCAAGGCAATCACGCAGGTACGGAGAATAGTATATCCGCAGCAAACAAATGTAAATGCACCAGAGGAAAAGCTCAGAGCACAACCAAACATAATAAACAAAATCTTCCTTAGGAATATTCCGCAGAGGTAAAAAGTCTTACTTCGTCGCTAGAAGCATGTTTTTTCTTGTGACTTGCTCGTTGGGATCGGAATGTTGCCGGTTGAGAAATTCAGCTACTGCTTTGGCAGGAAATTCTGTTTCACAAACGTAACCAAAATCTCTCGCGAGATGCACGGCTTCTCCTGAAATGCGGATTGGGAGGAAATACATAATTAATACCCAAAGCATAAGCGGGCGACAGGAACGTGGGAACTCGCGCCAACAAATCTATGGGATTTGTTATTAGACTTTGCTAGGTGCATCTTTGGGTTCCTCACGTGATATCCAGTCAATCAAGATTAACTGGCACTTTGCAATCTACTAGTGAAGCGCTGCTTTAGAAAAGACTAATATCTCAGTGTGCTAAAGAAATTTCCTGAAGGCGATTGGGGGGGGGGGAGGCGGTCAAAATGCATTGTTTTATATCAAACTATGAGCGTGTTAATACTGATCCTAAAGAATCCTTTGGGGGCGGGTGAGATGCTGATTGGGCAATTCATAAAGTGGTAAATGTAGTCGGCTTTTAATCCTAAATTATATTGCAATATATTTATGGCATTTTGTTCAGCTCACTAACAAAAGTGTCCCAAGTATTTTATCTCTGTTTTGTAAAGTTTAATGTTTCAATTTGTGCTTTTAGTTTATATTACATTACGGAGAATTATGTATACACAGAAAAGAAAAACATACGAAACATATAATTATTCTGTTCCTAGAGAATATTGATCATTGATCATTATTTCAATCCCCACCCTATAGACTGCATTAAATAGTTAAGTGCTTAAAATTTAACTTGATTGCATATAATTATCCTTCCTTCCCTTCCTCTCCCCCCCCCCCCTTTTCAAACGATTAACCATAAGAATTTTAGGGTCATTCCGTTGAGTCTGTCTGTTTTGTTGATTTTCAAATCTTTGGTTTTAATTTCCTGAACCAGTTGGTTTTCACCGCAGGGCTTCCTGCCATTAGCTCGAGGTCCGGAAGAACGCATGCGCCAATTAGAGCTTCAAAGCCTCAGTCCACGGAGCTTGTTTCCATAAAATGGAGCGGATCATAAACAATAACAGGACTTTGGAAGCGGCCTCATCGCGTAAGGACCACAACCCAACAATCGTCTATTATCTCTTGAGAGGGGAAAAAAATTAGCCACTATTATTAGTTTATCTATGCATTAGCCTTATTCCTGTGTTTCTCTTCATCGTAATAGGATGATCAAACCGTGGCTTTTTTTTTTAAAAAAAAAAAGATCGCTCCTTTTAAATTATAGGTTTTATTAAACGTTTAAAATATTCCCTAAATCACGATAATATTAGCATGTCTCATTTTTCTCCTTTTTCCTGCTCTCCTGTTGTTGTTGTTTTTGTTTTTCTTCAGCTACTTATAAATTTTCTTTTGCTTTCCTTGATTACCCATTAGTTGCTGGTGGCATTTAAATACGCTGTTTATTAATGGCAGGACTCCTTGATGGACTTTCAGTGGCAGTTGGCGTTTTTATAATGTAATTTATATAATTTTTATAATTTTTATAACTTTCACTTCTTTGAACTTAAAAAAAAGGAAAGCAAGCAAAAAAAAGAGAGAAAAGATGGCTATAAGCTGATAGTAAGCAAAACTAAAGCTAACTTGGCATGAAGAATGGACTTAAAATTCACTCTACATAACCAAAATCAAGGTTAAAGACCTTTGAATTAAAACCTAGTGAAGACTGCATGGGTAGGACAGCTTGTATCAACTTCCTTGGGTCAATAGCTACTACAAAGTAATTCCCAATTTAGCATGCCCCCTGCATTTCTTGTTCTCATTATAAACTTTGTAACTATTTTAACATAAAGGAAGATACATGCCCACCCCTTTTGACTTCTTAATGTTCAAACAGTACATTCACCCAACCTCTTTTCACAATTAAAATAGAAGAAAAATAAAGCATTTCTATACTGCTTAATTCTACCAAGCAAAGAGGAGATCAGAAGCTTGCAGTAAGATTAGGACACTATTAAATCGTGGTGTAGGTCAAGGATTCCCAAATTGATTCAAGAAGTTAAGGTTCTATATTTTTCAAATGCAGATGTCAAAATGATTTAAATATAAATAAGCTACTGGTATGTAGCTTGAAATAGCAGAGTTGTATCTTAAGTTAGCTGTAGGCGCTAACTTTTTAATGCGTATTAAGGTGCAAAGAATGAGATCCTGAGCACTGGAAACAGATCTTAAGTGTTGTTGGGTACAATAAACTTCCATCCTACTTGTTACAGCATATAAATGCAGCATGCTTTATATGTGTCAAAATAAAAAATATTCCTGAACTCATTTCTAAACTAATTTCTTTTTCTCAGTTGGACTAAAATTGCTCCTATAGTTAGTTTCTGAAGCAACTGGCATAGATGGTAACTCCTTAGAGGTCACGCTGCCAGTAATGCTGGCAGTCATTCTGTATCTCTTATACTGAAGCATACAGACAGAGAATAAAGAATAGATATAGTGCTTTTTCTGGGGTTTTTTATCTGAACAATGTTTCCATATTTGATTGGTAGGCTACTATATATGTGCATACACATATTCTGTTCAACTCTGAAAACACTAGAAAATAAAGACAGAGCTAAA